AAATTGACTATCTAAATATATTTTGATTAGTTCTGAACTTAATATTAAGCTTTTTTAAAAAACTTTAAAATTTTTATGTCAATAAATATAATATTAAGAATAGGCATAACTATAATGTTCAAGACTAAACCTTAAGAAAAAAATTAAAATATTTATAATTAAAAATTTTAAATCTAAACTATTCAAAATACATTTAAATATTAATTAAAAAAATTATAAAAATATTTAATATTAAATTTATCATCTAAATTGAAGTCGTATTATCCAAGTTGATAATAAAACAGACTCATTAAATTTTATAATTTTTATTTTAATAAATATAAAATAAAATATATAAATTTAAATTATTTAAATTTTAATTTGAATGGTGTAAATTGCTCATAACCAAAAATGGGGCCCTACCGTACTGTAACCTTGTGGCTGGCTGCTCAGGAGCATGTGGAGCAAATGATGGAGGGTTGGCATATGGAGGCGAAATAAATCTCAGCGGGGAACAAACAAGAAGAACCAGCTTGGGCTAGCAGGCTCAATGATAAACACAGAACCGATGCTCTGGGTCTGGCCCATTAATGCAGTGAAGGGCCCGTTCCTTTCATTGATCAGAATAAGATCCACTTGGATTCTGAAGGAAATAGTTATTTTCGGCCATCCACGGAGTTATAAAGACAAATCAATTCTCGAGTCGGCAAGACTTGGATGTTATTATCAAATATTATTTGCTTCTACTGTTATCTGTAGCTGCATCAACTTCAGAACTAAAGGGTTGGTGGTTGCCGTCATAAATTTTGTCCTGTCTTCTCTTGCGGCCTTTACGATGCTCTTTATAGTGTGCTGGTTAACCTAAGCTCCTTTAGCTGGCCAACCAAAATATTGTTAGTACTCCACGGACTAATTAAATCCATGCATGTTCTCTTTTTCTTTACTTGTACGATTAATTATACTTGAATCATTACTTAACTTTTACATGCTTTTATGTTGATACCAGTATTGCTGATCATACCGTAGGACCATGAGATAAATTATTGTTGATGACTTGTAAATAGTTTATATAAATTATATTTTTATAGTTAGTACACTATTTTTAATATTTAAATTCTCTAAAATTAGATATGTGAATTTTAATAAAATTTATTAATTTTAGCATTTTTATAAAATATTAAATATTCTCTCTTTCTTTTAAAGGTAAACTTGACTGAATTTTTTTTGAGTATTAAAGGATTTAAAATTTTAAATCCTATATATATAAATACTCCCCTATTTAAAAATATAAGGCATTTTTAATTAAATTTTACTATCAATAAAGTAGTTATTTTTTTTAAATTAATTTATCTTTTTATATTTATATCTATTAAATATTCTATAATAAATATAAAGTCACTGTTAATAGGAATAATTTAAAAAATTAATAATTACATCTTAAAAAATTAAAAATATTTATATTTTTAAATATTTAATTTTGTAAAAAATAATTTTTATTTTTAAATGAAAGAAGTATATATTATTATAGATGGATGGAGCGGCCGGCATGCTGATCAATGCCTTCACTTCTCTCCCCCCCGGGCGGCGAGTTCAAAGTTTTAAACCCGTCAATCCTAGTAAAAAAAAAAAAAAGAGAGAATATTCTCATATTTTAATTAAAATTTTTAGAATCACATGGAAATTTAATCATAACATCGACGAAATATTCTTCGTGGAAGACATTAATTTTCTCTCGAATTTCCAATTTGATATCGACACTAATATAAAATCTGGTGGTCGTGGTCCATGGAGGTGTTTATCGCAGCGTGGGATAATTCATAATTGAACCTGTCATCTCAATTCTCAGTGCTGCAGCGTGGATGGTGGGATTTAAATCTCTCCGTACTTTTTGTTCAATATATTTTTTGACACTCAATTTCATCTTGTCATTTAATTGCGGTTTTGGTTTAAAGACATGAGATGCTTATAATGAAATTAAAATAAATAAGTTATTCATTACCATTATTTAAATCCTTTTAAAAATAAAATTATAATGCATATTAATTATAATTATTAAATAAATATTATATTTATTTCACGTCATAATCAACAATTTCACACCTTTAATTTAAAATAACAATTAAATAAATAGATGGGATTGAATATAAAAAAAAAGTATTGATAGATAAATTGGAAATGAGGCAAGACCATGGATGTTGGATGGTGAGACTTGGTGGATTTGTTAACCACTTCTACGTGGGCCCATCGTCATTTAAGGAAGCAGGTATCTGAGGAAATCCAGACCCATTCCGAATAGCACAAGTGGATGGACACAGTTGAATGCTTTGGCTCAGGATTACGAGAATGACGCACAAAGACCTCACAATGGAATTATACACAAAAGCAAAGGATATCTTTCGTTTTTGTTTTAAAAATAGTTTTTAATTTTAAAACAATTATTTGGAGGAATGTTTCGAATCTGATTATTTTTAAAATTATTTTTTTTTATAGAAGCATCATAAAACTGTTTTTATTTTATTTTTTAAATATATTATACTTAATTATTGAAAATTATATTTACTTTAATCAATAATTATTAGAAGTTATCACCATCAATCATCAGTGATTATTACTAACAATTGATTTTTTAATTCTAAAATTATTTTTATATTAACAAGCCGAACAGATTTTATTTTATTTTGAAAAGCAATTTTAAAAAAATATATTATTTTAAAAATAAAAAAATGAACTACAGGTGTCCAAAACGCTTGCGATGGAGTTGAGTTTGAATTCCAATCTTTCCGTATAGAGTACCATCCATTCCAAGTTTGAATAATTGTAGCAGTGTTGTCAGCTCTGCAGCTAAAAAGGTGGATTTGAATCACATGCAGTAGCTGACGTGCAGTGTTTGGAAAGTGCCTCCGTAGAAACCATCAGATTGATTTCGTGGTTGCGAGAGGCTTTGGTGTAAGATTAATTTATACTAGTAAAAGCACAAAAACAAAAACGACGGATTTCAAAGCCACGACCACAAACCAGCTCCATCTTTTTCTTAGATGGAAGACTTGAAGAAGAGGCTGTCAAGCTTTCTCTTGCATCATCTTCTTCGACGGAGGGCCTGAACATGTTGCAGCAACTGTTTCAGTGATGGCTTAGGTAGACTCTGGCAGTGACGACGACATGAGAGGGCGAAGGTTCAAGGTTCAAAACTAGATCGATCTCGTAGGTTCTGATTTTGAAGGTTCTAGATCGTGTTTGAAGGGCAACAATGGGCAGCGAAAATGGTTATGGTCCTTGCCCGGTTCCTCCTTCGACTCAATTCTATGGATTGGTTAATTCTCTTTCTTTAAATTGACAGCATGAACACGCGATAATGGCTCTGCAATCACTTGAGAATTTAGAAAACAAAAGATACCCCATGTAGTTTCAACCCTGCACATCGATTGACTTACAAATGTCATCGTGTGAGAGTGGCACTCGTAAATTCCATTTTTGGTATCAAAAGTGATAGGACCACAGGGGGGCTGCCACCTGTAAATTTTATTCGTAACAAATATTCCAAGAGTGAATTTGCTCAAAAATATTCTTAGGATGATTTTTTTTTTTTTGTGAATTTAGGACTTGTTTTTGTTTAAAATTAAAAAATAAAATGATTCTTAAATGGTTTAAAGATTTTACAAAGGGAGATTTATTTTATAAAAAATTTATAAAAAGCTGACATTATTTTATGATCAATCACAACAATAAAAACTAATTATTAAATTTTATAATATATTCATTGACCTTCTTATATAAAAATATTTTATTATTTAATCATTTTAAAATTTATAATATTTTTATGTATATCTCTTTTACCGTGTTAGATTATTTCAAAACATTTATCTTCGTGTATCTAATAATTTTAAAATATTATCTTTTTAAGTAATTTTTTAAAATAATTAGAAATTTATTTTTTTAGATTCTATTATTTTTAAAAATTTAAATAAACATAATAAAAATTTTGAATAAAACAAATACAGTAAAAACTCACAATTTTTAAAAAGTAAATATTTTTTTATAAAATTAGTTAAAACAAACCATCCTAATTTCATTTGCAATCTCTACCTTATATATTTTTATTAAAAAATAATTATTTAATTTTTATAATTATAATTTAATTTTTAAACTTTGAACCGTTATAACTTAATATATAAATTTTAAATTTTGTAATTCATTTATTTTAATAATTATTTATATATTGATCTTTATATATTAAAAATAAAATTATAAATATCAAAATTATATTACAATTTATTGCTAATATTATAAATTAATAAATTATTTTAATCTTTATAAATATTAAAATTTTAAAATATTTTTAATATTTATAATTTTATTTTTTTAAATGGTTGAAACTATAAGAATTATGTTGCAAGAGAAAAAAAATTTTAAAATTGAATTAAACTTAAATTAAAATTATAAAAATTGAGTTATAACAAGTCAAAATTTAAAAATTAAATTATAATTAAATTAAAATTATAAAAATTAAATTAGTAAGGGCTTGTTTGGTTGTTGTTTTTATTTTTTATTTTCAATAGTTGTTTTATAAAATAATTTTTAAAATAATTTTAAAAAAAAAAAAAACTTGTTTAGTAATAGTAATTGAAAAACTGTTTTATAAATTTATGAGATGGGTGATTCTCCTTTATCGGACAAAATTACAACATTTGTTATTAATGAGAACAATCCTCATTTTTCATTTCCCGCTTTTTCTTTATAAAACTGATATAAGAATAGAAATAGTTAAAAATTGTTTTGGTTTTCTTGTATTTAAAAATAAAAAATTAAAAACTGTTTTCAAAACAAAAATTAAAAAATTGTTAACCAAGCCAGTTTTTTGTTTTAAAAATATTAAAATAAAAAATAGTTTTTAAGAATAATAAATAAACAGGTTCTAATTTTTCCTATTTTCTTTATTCGTTGTCATTTTTGGCCAACCTGGCTAACCACATTTTTTTGGGGGTTATGGAGTTAGGCAAAGGCGCGAAGACACAGAGCCCTTGTGTTGTGTCCCGTAACCCGGATAGCTCTGTTCATTTTCCACTGGGATGGCTAACGACGTTAGGCAGTGGCTGTTGCACATTTGCGCACAAGGGACGCTGGAACGATACGAAGGCGCAGCGCGGGGGCGTTCCCAATAACCCCGAACCACAGTGAGAGGGAGGGGCATTCTCAGCGATCTTTCTTATTCCATGTCACACGCAATTCCTGACGTTAAACCATTTCTACCCTTTTTCCAAATCTAATTACTCTGTCTTCGTACCTCCCTGCCCCCCAACAACTTCATTTATAAATTCCGCTGCTCCTTTCCACTTTCTGAAATCTTCGTTTCTATCGAAATCGGGGAGTCTGTGTGTTAGTGCTCGGCCATGGCTATTGCAGCAGCAGCTGTCGTCGTGCCATTGGGCCTGCTCTTCTTCGCCTCGGGCCTTGTCATTAACCTCATCCAGGTTATCAATAATTCACTTCTACTCTTAAGGTTATTAGATTTTCATTAGGCCATGCCTCACCTTTCCCATCTCTTGACTTGAGATTTGTTTCCGAAGTGCTATCTATCTACTTTTTAATAGATTCTTCCCATTTTCGGCTTTGATTTTGTTATCCGGTGTATCTGGATATGTCTATAGCTTGATGGGTTCGCTACTTGCAGTGATTTCATTAGAGTGAAAGTGGCGGTATAAGATTTATCAGTGTTTGGTTCTGTAGTGGAAACATGCTGCTATATCTCAGCTTTTGGTTCCATTTTGCCTGTTTTATACACCCCTCATCTCGTCCTCTGGAGTCCCACGGAAACAACTTTTGGGTGCCCCCTTCCCCCCAAAATTTAAATCATGCTATTTTAGCCCTAGTTCATTTTAGATACTTCCTCCGTATCAACTTTGTTCTTCCGGGAGTTGTCCGACGAAGTGTTAAACAATTATTTCAGCATTCTCTAATGAACACAAACCTAGTGCTCATATATGGGAGTTTTTGGAGATCTTATTGTTTCAATTCATCCTCGAATATTCTGATAATTTAATTAGAAATGGTCGAAATATTAAAAGTGAAACGAACGTAAAAGGATCTTTAATTAATTTAGTTTATAATCATTGTGACTTCTTGATTGCTTTGTTTCAGGCAACATGCTATGCTTTTGTACGGCCGCTATCAAAAAATTTGTATAGACGAATCAACAGGGTGTTAGCAGAACTCTTGTGGCTGGAACTTGTATGGATTATTGATTGGTGGGCAGGAGTTAAGGTGTTTAACCAGTTCCTGGTTTTTCTGTAATGTTTTATTGCAATATTGTTGCCGATAAATCTAGTTGTTGGGTCACTAGGAAAAATCTTATTTTCCTTTTGCATTCCTTGTCCGGTATTTTGCATGTTGAGTGAGTAGCAAAAAATATGGGCATGCCTACACAAGTAAGTGTGACTGCAAACCCATTGAGTAACACGTTCACATATTATAGCTTGCAGTTAATTTCACAAAATAATATGGGGAAAATCTAGATGTTTGTTATATACTTGTAAGTTTGCAGGAGGGAATTAGTTATCCAAATTGATGTTTGAGTTATGGACTTCCAACTGAACAAGCTGTCCTGGTTGGTATTCAGTTAGTTTATTCATGTAAGCATAAGTACTTGATCAAAGGGAACATTTTCAATGGCCACATGTCAATAATTTATGAACTGTTATTGAATGAGTTATTCTGTAGTATTTTGAATAATCAAATCTGTAATTTTGAACTTTCTGGCTGGCCGCAGGTCCATCTATTCACTGATGGTGAAACCTTTCATTTGATGGGTAAGTCTCTTGTCTGCATGTTCAAGTAATGCTATCCTGCCAAGTTTTTTCTTCACCTCTTCATATTTCTTTTCATGTTCTGTATCTGTGTGTCTTCTGGAGAAAAAAATTGGATATTCCTGTGCTACTGTGCCCAGCATTTGCTTGCACTAGCTTCCTTATTTGTTCTTGATATAGGTAAAGAGCATGCACTTGTCATCTGCAATCATCGGAGTGATATTGATTGGCTTGTTGGATGGGTTTTAGCTCAGGTGAGTGTCTTATTTGGTATGACCTTTTAACCGCAACTGACAATGTAGGCGCTCGGTATATTTAGCACATTTACATGCATGAGCAGCATAATTCATTTATATTTCAGGTTTACTTTTTACGTGTATACTACTGTACTGTAAGATATAGTTCTATTTGATTAATATTTTGTTTCTCTTGCCTCTCTGGGTTGTTATATCCCCTTCAACTATGATTGATTATTGAGCGTCATTCAACAGCGTGCTGGTTGCCTTGGAAGCACTCTAGCTGTGATGAAGAAATCATCAAAATTGCTGCCGGTATGTCTCTCTTTGTAAAGCGTTTCTTGTGAAGATGGAATGGTTCTTGTTTTGCTGAGGTTATGATATAACCATTTGATCATGGATGTCAATGCAATTTGAAGTTGGGGTATGAATGTAGGGATATATAGTTGATGTACATGGACTCGTTATTAGTAGCATGATTGCTTGCTGGTTAAATTTGTCAGTGTTGGTCTACCTTTAAAATTCTATAAATGCAGGTAATTGGTTGGTCAATGTGGTTTTCTGAGTATCTTTTTCTGGAGAGAAGTTGGGCCAAGGATGAAAGCACATTAAAGGTATGACTTGTTAAAATATAGTGAGCATATATTCTGCATGTGCATAGGGGATTCACAACTGTGCATTTTATGTAGAAGAGCTCATGTCCATTAAGTATGGTCCAAGATATATACTTACTGTAAGATATTCTTCTTTTCCTTTTGTGGATTTGGATTGAATTTGTGATGCTGTATTTCCAGTCAGGCCTCCAAAGACTAAAGGATTATCCTCTTCCCTTTTGGTTGGCTCTCTTTGTAGAGGGCACTCGATTTACACAGCCAAAATTATTAGCTGCTCAGGAATATGCAACCTCAACTGGATTGCCTGTTCCTAGAAATGTGTTGATACCTCGAACTAAAGTGAGTTCTTGTAATTGTCTTACCTTTTTTGTTTTTGTTTTCCCTCTGCTTGCTTTCCTTTACATATGTTGGAAACCATTTTACCAGAATTTGGTCTAGCTAGCACTGACAGGCTCAGCATATCACCAGCTAAATCATCCAATCATCTATGTGTGGTAGTGTTCACATATTGGAATGGTTGTTTATGAAAACGTGCTACCATATGATACATTGTAATTGGTGGTGCCACTCTACCTGCCTTTCTACTTATTATAAATTATCACTGAAAAAAAAAAATTGAAAGAAATCATGGACATATTACTGAAACGATGAATTTCTGTTTTATCCTAATTCTACATGTTAAATTGAAAGAAAGCATTGACATATAATGTAGTTGTGTTCACATATTGGAACTTTGGAAGGTCATAATTGGTTTATCATGCATAATAAGTTGCGCTCTTGCCATTGTATTTGGGCCCAATTTTTCTTCTACACTTTGCTGAGATATTTACTTAATTACGTTGTTTTCAGGGTTTTGTTTCAGCTGTCAATCATATGCGCTCATTTGTTCCTGCCATTTATGATGTGACAGTGGCTATTCCTAAAAGTTCTCCTGCCCCTACAATGCTAAGACTCTTCAAGGGGCAACCTTCAGTGGTAAGGGAATCAAAGTTGGATTTTAAAAGCAATTGCATTTAATTCCTCACTCCTTTTCTCCCACCATGTGATCTCCTACTGCTATTGAATATTAGACTTGCTTTAATGTCTTTTTCTCATATATCTATCAGCTTTGTCATAGTGTTCCCGGAGTTTTCTTTGGTTCTTTTCTCAACCAATTACACATTTGTTATTCGATGGCATTTTCATTGTTGTTGTTGTTATTTTTGGGGCGTGTTGCACTGCTTTCCGACTAAGCAGTTATGGGTAGAGAATGTAACTGTTGAAATTAGCTTTGGTGGGATTATGCATTGGGATTAGATGCTGAAAGGAGTGAGTCTGCTGCTTTCTGTCTCGAGTTTTGCTTATTCTGCTGTACAAGTAATATATCTGCATGGGATTGTGTATTAATAGCGGTTATAATTCTGTATATGATCTGTACATTGGAAGCCATGAATGAGGAGGTCAGGGTTAGTGGATGAAGTTAGTTTATTTGATTTTGATGTTGTAATGTTTCCGGAGTAGACTCTGGAGTTTATTATTCAATTGATGTTGGAGCACACAGACAATCTAAGGCTCTACCTCTTATGAACTTTGAAATAGTTTCCATTGTTTAGGGAGAAGAAAAATATAATACAATCACTTTGGTGCTCTGGTTCAGAAAACAGTAGCTGTTATTATTATTATTATTATTAGGTTTTGGGCCAAACGCTAGCTTTAGAGGTTTTCATTTGGATTGCTTCTTTTAGGAGGATTATTTTTCCTACACGCAGCGCTTCTCAATAAATGATTGTTTGAAACCATGAACTATTATGTGTACTCATTTTCCCACAACAGGTTCATGTGCATATCAAGCGGCATTTGATGAAGGAATTACCTGAAACAGATGAAGCTGTTGCACAATGGTGTCGGGATGTATTTATTACCAAGGTGCTTGCTTATTCAAACTCTTCTTGCAGATTGCATTCTGGAATGCCTGTCCATGTCTTTATAGAGAAACTGAAGCAGTAGTTCATTTTTCAAATTTTGTTCACATAAAATGTACGCATGTATCTGTTCCTTGTACTTTTGGTGCTTCTGTCTATAATTCTTTTTAGTGTGATCATTTTACAATTTCATGGCGTTCGTTCTTATTGTCATTGATTTATCTCCTGGGCACACCGCAAACCAGGATGTATTGTTGGACAAACATAAAGTTGAGGATACCTTCAGCGATCAACTACTGCAGAATACCGGTCGTCCGATAAAGTCTCTTTTGGTGAGATACTAATCGCTCAAGCCATTTAACTAATTTTGGAACTTTTCAGTTTTCCTCCTATATTTATGCCCTTTGCCTGTGGTGGTTGGCCTAATTTTATGGAATCTCATGTTATGAGCAGGTGGTAGTGTCCTGGGCTTGCCTGGTTGTTTGTGGGGGTGTGAAGCTTCTCCGATGGTCTTCCATCCTGTCGTCGTGGAAGGGCGTTGCATTGTCAGCTTTTGGGCTGGCAGTTGTTACCGTGCTCATGCACATCTTGATTCAATTCTCACAGTCAGAGCGTTCAACTCCTGCCAAGGTAACCCCAGTAAAGCCCAAGAACAGGGGAGGAGAGCAGGATGGTAGCCACAGTAAACAACATTAATTACTCACTTGTTCCTCAAGACTTCCACACACAGGGACCTTCTCTTCAATATTATTTTTTGTTAACTGTCATTTTTGTTTAGTGACTCAATCCTGGAACTGTTTTCTGCTCGCAGGTTGAGGAATGCGTGTGTATTCATTATTTTCTAGTTTATTTGGTTAAATTGTATAGACAATCTAGGCTTTGCTGTGCCTGTGGGTGGATCTTCGGAGTAGGCTAATTTATTTGGTATCATTCATATTTTGGCCATGTATGTCTATCTACCGTTTTTGAATGTATTTCTCGCTGGCTCCCATTTTATTCCTGTTTTGTGATTTTGGAATAGAGCCGGCTCCGCACCTCAAACTCGGACGATTCAAATTTAATAATTTTTTTACATTTTTTAAAATAAAAATTATATAAATTAATTTTTTTTAATAAAACTGTACCAGTTTCAACTGTCCAAATTTAATATGAAGCGAACATTAGAGTAATTGATGTGGGTGGGGAGAGATGGTTTTTGGGAGAGGCAAAAATGTCTTTTTTTTCAAAAAGACTGAGATGTTGGATACTTTCTCTAAAAAAATATAAATATTTTTAATTAAATTTTAAAGTAATTACCTACTTTTTAATTAACCTTATCTTTTTATATTTATATTTATTAAATATCTACAATAAATATAAAGTCATTATCAATAAAGATATTTTTTTAAAAAAAATAATGATTATACTTTAAAAGACTGAAAATACCTTACATTTTTTAATTATCAACTTCTCAAAAAATATTTACATTTTTTAATAGAAGGAGTAAGCCTTTTGGGATTAGAAAATAATTATCATATGTTGTGGCATCTTTTTGTCATTTGTATATTTTGGAGATATTGTTTTTTGTCATTCTCCCAATAAAAAAAATAAAAATTAATCCTTTAATCTTTATAATTTTAATTCAATTATAATTTAATCCTTAAATTATGACTCAATGCAACTCATTCTTTAAAATCTTGACTTAATTATAATTTAGTTTGTGAACTTTGACTTGATGTAATTAAGTCTCTATAGTTTTAATAATTTAAAATTTTAATCCTTATATTTCAAAAAATAAAATTAGAAAGATTAAATATTTATAATTTTTATCAAACTGAAAGTTTTAATAATTGAAAATTAACCCCAAATGTCAACATAATTTTAATTTTTAGAATTTTATTTTCAAAATATAAGGATAAATATTTTAAATGATTAAAATTATAGAAATTGAATTACAACAAGTCAAAGTTCAGAGATTGAGTTACCTGAATTAAAACTTCAATGATTAAGTTATGACGAGTTAACATTTAAAAATTGAATTATAATTGAGTTTTTTTTTGTCAAAAAATTATAATTGAGTTAGAATTACACAATCAAATGATTAATTTTTTTCTCCTTAAAAAATAGCTGGCTTTGTCAGTTGGACCTGGAATGCAAGGAGCTGGGCTGGACCGCGATAATATTCCATCATAATTAACGGGGAGTCGGTGTACTAAATGGTCTGAAGGAAAGGAAAGTCATGAATGTACCCCAAAAAGAAAAAAAAAAAAAACTGATATTGATTTTTAAATTAGTTTTTTTCTTGGTTGCATTTGGGTCTTGTAGGTTTGAAAGAGAGTAAAGGACGGTGGGCAATGATGGTTAAATCAAATAAAAAAAGGAAATGCATGCTGGCATCTTATTAAATAAAAAATAATAATAATAAAATTCCTTTAAAATATATAAACAATAATTTAATCTCTCAAAATGTTATAATTTCTTTGAAGTTTTCAAAAACATTTGTATCATTAATAAATTTATATAAATTATTAAATTATCCTCATTAAAAGTAAATAATTCACAATTCACAACAATATAACAACAAATAAAAAATTTAACATGTAAAGTTCTGATTTCTATTACATTATTGTGAGTTTTTTAAAAAAAGTTGCAAATATAAAAAGAAAAGTTGTGAATCATTTACTTTTAATAAAGATAATTTGATAATTTATATAAATTTATTAATGACAGAAAAGTTTCTAAAAATTTTAAAAAAATTATAATATTTTGAGAGATCAAATTATTATTTATATATTTCAAAAAGATTTATTGCCATTTTTTTATAAATAATATATCAAATTTAAGTTCACAGACGGTACAAACTCCAAACTAATCGTGGCTGTGTTGACTGTCAAGTGAAAGAGAATTGATATACTTGAAAGAAATATTAAATTCAAGGTAAAAATATACATATTGGGATAGTTTTTCCTATTTGAGACCAAACACGGTTTGAATATGATTCAGTAGCAGAAAAATGAACGTAATTGTTTCCCCTCAAAATTTAGATAGATGTGGTGTTACTTTCATTTGTATCGTCAGAAGGAACTTTGTCTTGAATGTATGTCGTATGTAATGTACCTCCTACCACCAGTTGCCCAGAGGGTTGAGAAAAAGGAGTGGGAGAGGAGTAGGAGAAAGAAATGCTGAGAGACAAAGGGACAAAATCTCAATAATGATCCCTAAATGGGTTAATAGTGACGAACCAGTCGCAGGCACGGCATGAAAACGACACCACTTTTGGACATAACTCACCTTTGATTGACCCACTATTTCAGCTTGCCTCCTCCTGATTCTTCACCCAACGCTTTCTAGCTACTACTTGACCCACGTTTAAGAATCTGCACAATATAAGTCTCTAGCCTATATTTAATAACGTTAGTAAACTAATAATTAAAATTATGGCTACGAGTGGTCATAGTGGATTTGACCGAATTGGTGAGTCTTAGGGGTCAAAATTCAGGAGCTCGTCATCATAATCAGCGCTGCCTTGTTTGTTTATGGGAAAGGGGACGGATGAAGAAGGATTAAATTCCAAAAACGGTGGGGGCGTGGAAGTAATTAGAGCTTGGGATAGACAGAGAGACAAAGAGCATTGAACAGGAATCACATATTGATGATGTCACAACCCTGTGTGAACAGTGAGTCTCTCTCCATCATCATGTTCAATTCTGCCACTCAACTGTTAACTGTCATTACTCCGTCTTCCTCCATTACGCTCCCACTTCATAATTTCTCTGGCAAATTTACGGGTTATTCACCATTCATAAATGAAACCTGATGACACGGAATATTAATTAATTCACTTCAAGCCGTAAAATTGATTCTTTGAATGATAATACTCTCTCCAACTTAAATTATAAAATATTTTAAATAAAATTTTACATGACAATAAATCTCATTAAATACACATAATAATTTTATCTTTTTAAAATAAAAATATAAAATTTTAAAAATACTCATTATTTAATATATTAAAAAAATAATAAACAGAAATTAATTATAAAAAGAAAAATGATAATATTAAAATTAGGACATTTAATAAAATTTTAATTTACTCAAGGTGTCTTATATGTTAAGAGATAAAAAAAATTTCTTTAAAAATATCTTAAAATTTAAAACGGAGATAGTAATAAAAGGAGTTATATATAGAATGGATGAGTGAGAAGAAATTAAAGGGAAAGCTTCATTTTTCGTTGTTTCATAGAATTTCCGTTATTTTGCAAAACCAGAGGCTTCCTGAAATTTTGGTCTCCTTTCCCATGGGGTCTTCAATGGCTTCTAGTGATAAATTCTAATGTGGCTTTATTACCTGTGGACCTCACGCTGAATGTAGTGGAACCTCCTCCACGTCGTGTTATTGTCAGAAGTTTTTTAAAGAAAATATATTTTTTAATTCTTATATTTTATTCATATTTTATTATATATTTTTATATTTTTTTTTGTGTTTTGAATTTTTATACTTTTATTTTTTTTATATTTTTTATTTATTTAAGATTTCTATACTTTGTTCATTTTATTCGTTTAGAAATTTAAAACATTAAAAAATAAAAATATAAGAACTTAAAATACTAAAAAAAATTATAAAGATCTATAATAAAATACTAGCAAAATAGAGAGGCTAAAATGTATGTTTTTTTTAAAGTTTTTGTCAACTTAAATTTATTTTGCACGAGTACAGTTTTTTCATGTGCTTTTCTATAATTATAAGGCTTTTTTTTTTTTAAGAAAAAAGATCACGATATCAGCTACTACTAATTTTTAAAAATTGTAAAAGATTAATGTATACATTTAATCCTTTAACTTTACATAATATTTTATTTTAATCTTTTAACTTTATAAAATATATTTTTAATCATTTAAATTTAATACTGTTGGTTTTATTTTAACAAATATTTACATTGAGCTTTCAAATATTGGTAAAAAATTTTAAATGTTGACATATTAAATTTATTTTTCTAAAATAATAATAATTGACACAATAAATAATCATTTGAAATCAACGATGTTAGAATTAAAGGATTAAAAATATACTCTATAAGATTAAAAGATTAAATTAAAATCTTATATAAATTTAGAGGATTAAAGATATACTTTATCCATTGTAAAATTACCAAATTTTATCCTATAATTAATATCAAGACAGTACTTTTTAGGAGTGTATTATCATTTAATTCAATAAAAATGAATTATTTTTAATATTAAGTCAAGACATCACAAATATTTTTTTAACAAAAAACTATCTGACTCTAAAAATAAATCATTATTCAATCAGACTACGGTGAAAATCCAAAGTACTTAGGTTTTACTATGTTTGAAAGAAATATATCCTACAAACTAAAGTTTTTGTTATTTAAGCAAGTCGTTAGAAGTTTGAATCTTAATCTTTGTATATATACTCCTTTTAATCATATTTATAAGATAGAGATAAAATATTTTTTTGGTCTTATTTATAAATTACCTTATTAAATTTTTATCATAAATTTTTCTCATTTGACCTCCATTAAACGTTGAAGAGAGAAAATATATTATTAAAATTTATATATTTAATATGAGCAAAATTAAAAAAATTTTAAATTTTTAAATAAAGCAGCAGTAACAATTTAGTTAGAATATACTCCTTCCGTTTAAGAATAAAAGGCATTTTTTGAAGAGTTAAATATTTAAAAATGTAAGTATTTTAGTCTTTCAAGGTGTAATTATTATTTTTTTTCAAAAGCGCCCCTATTGATAGTGACTTTTTATTTATTATAAGATGTTTAATAGGGATAAATATAAAAAGATAGGGTTAGTTTAAAAGTAGGTAACTATTTTATTAAGAATGAGATTTGATTAAAAATATCTTATATTTTTTAAATAAAAAAGTATTTATTATTTACTCTCAATATCTCTGGAAAAGATATTCTTTATAACTATTCTACTTATATTCA